TTTAGTGGATAGTCAGGCTTACAAGAGGAGTCAGGGAAGCAAAACGCAGAAGTATCCAAAGGAAGGAAATTACCAATTTGATTAAACACGGTTGAGAATTCAGCCAACCGAAGGTAGTCAATTTAGATTATAAAAAGCTGTATGTACGCATATAAAGGTAGTCGTTATTCCAGTCGAGACATGTAATATCGGATCTGTGGGTTACTTGATCACAAAAACCTCTGAGGAGTTATTTAGGAAGGGGTTCAATGGTAAGGAATATCAAATTTACCCTAATATCCTTCGATATGCATGAGAAGAAATGCGATTGTTAACTGTTCAAGTAAACAGGAGTAGAACAGCAATGTTTAAAACCGTATCAGATTAAGACTAATTCCTTCTAAAGAGCAGCGAAGATGAATTTGTGACAGGCACTGTGAAAATTTTGGCATTTTTATGGGGTTGCAAACTACTGAACTCATTGCTTTCTCGTTTGATCACATAACCCCCTGGATAGATTGGTTCTGTGATTAGAGTTGAGTCATGTCGCTATGAAGTATGCAATACTCACTTATCAGAAATATACAGTTATGAAGCCATCGCGCTGAGAAGCTTAATGAAAATGATTTTTGTTATAAGGCCAACGACGGATAGGCATGACTGAAAGTTTACACATTTTGAGAAGCAATAATCCGTGGATGAAACCGAACATTGAAGGTTGTTACAGAACGGTGAGTCACTTGAAGTTATGGGCGGGTTTCTGCTATGAACTGAATAAAGAAGAGAGAACATATCCTTGGAAGTGGACTGTGATGAAAGAAATGGTCTTTGATGCTGTTTGAACGCCCCTGATGCACAACAACGGCAGAGAGCGAGGTTCGAATCAACGATCAGTGCCGCAAATTCTGAATGAAGATTGATTCATAATGAGATGATCATTATTTTCAGTGACGAGAGACAGGCGAGATATTATCTGCACTGAAGAATTATATTTATCGGATAAATTGAATACGTTTTGCTTCTTTGAATTGTCGGCAGAAATGTATCCAGCAACTTACTAGTTCTGCTCAAGAATAGCCAACATTTGGAACGGCACTGACAATACTGAAACAATAAAGTCTATGAAACAGCTGAAACTTACAACATCTGTGCATTCTTGAACGTTCGTCTCTCTGGCTATTTTACATCGAAAGAGACGTAGTTTGGCATTGTTATTGACAACAGAACCTTGAAAAACGATTTCTCCAACTGTACCCGTACGTTTGGGGAGCTGTACATAAATTGAGATGCGAGAGCATAATTAACATATAGTTAACAAATGCCGAATATCAGTTCGACGAATATAAACAGATGAGTAACCGGTAGAGGTCCAGTAAGCCTACACACAGCTCAGATCATGCTTTCTAAATGTATGACAAAAATTATTTCTGAAAAGAATTAACTATAGTCACCCGGTATACCTGGAAATTCAGTTTCAGCTACTGAATTTCAACACCGAATGTTAAGGCACATGAACGCGAGCAAAAAGCATCGCCGATCTTTTCGGATGACAGTTAGGCAGAACAAATCAGTTCTTCTAATTTTTAAAATGATTGTGCGATAATTTTCGAGAAATGAATGAGTATGTTATTTAAATTCTTTTCATTCACTTGACAAACGAAGATCTTTAACAAAACCGGACCTACAAGTCAGAGGTGTTGCATTCACATTTATGGGGGACTCACCGACGTGGGTAAATGAATGTGGGTTAGTTGAGTCCAATTAAAATAAATTAGGGCGAGGATGAGGCAGAAGCACCCACGAAAAATCCGTTTATAACACACAAACAATGAGCATAATCATGTTTTGCTTTCTTACGTCATCAACTGGATTTCTCATCAATTGATCGAATTTCAATCAATCATTATTGAAACAAAGTTGGAGTCACCAACACTGGAGACAGTCGCAGCCGGATGGACCGGTATGTGAATGCTAATTTTTGTGTAACCGTCACAGATTATGGGCTCGTTTTATTTCGTTGGGCCCCTTGTGAATATAAATATCACATAGCAAAACGGTCGTGTAGTGGTCTTGGTGGTTTAATTGCATTATCGTGCAGACGGTTTTGTACGGATAAGTATTGGACAAAGTGGGATGGTTCTACCAGAAAGTGCATCTATCGCCATACTTCCCAATCGATTATTCAAAAGCAAAACTTCATGTAGCATATTCCAGATAGTGACAATAGAATTGGTTCAAGGCTGAGCTGGATAACATCAATTTGTTGGAAAATAGGAGTCCGTTTGGATCAGCACTTGAACCAAACAACGGCACGAGGGAAACTCGTGCAAGCAAGAAATTATTCCATCGCCAGTTGAAAGAGGAGGTTGCCTCGGAAGGAGATATTAGAACTCTTAGAGCGGCCAAGAAGTCCATTTCCAGTGTCGTTATACTAAAATCTAAGTTGAAAAAATAAGACGAGCTGTTTTTGTCAAGCTGTTTCACACGACCAAGTTAAAGTAGAACTATGCGCATGTTTATATTGATACAATGACCAGAGAGCTTTCTGAATGCATCGGTGAACACAATTCATGATGTCAATAGCATATTCACAGGGAAATTTGGCTTCTAATTCCAGTCACCGAAGTTACTATTGATCTGATCGAGAGTCGGATATACGCCATTCTAGTCGCGGTAGGTACACAAACAGTGCGCAAGGTAAGGTTTGCAGCACACAAGGCCTTTTTAATTATAAACTTGTACGTGGTATGCTCTTTCAATCGTACTCCATGCAATATAAAATTCTTTAATTTCTTCCACAATGTGCCAAAAACTGTGACAGAGGATTAAAGTTCTGCTAACGTTTCCATAGCACTCCCTTCGCGATGATAAAAATACTCTTGCGCAATCTGATAAGAAAGTGGGCACTGCAAAATACACGTAAATCAGACAGTTACCAATCTAATTAGAGTTCCCACTTCCATTCATGAAACCAGGTAGAAATCAATTGCAATGTGTAATCAAAATGTTCAATCGAATCGAAGTGGCGGTGACCCATCAGGTAAGATGTTTTACAAAGTAAATTTAGTGACAAATGTTGACATCATTTGATTAAAAATCTGTGGCTCTTTAAGAGCCACCACTTTCAAGAGATGCTGTATTTTGAAATGGAGTTTTACACAAGTGAATATAATTGATTTTACTATTGTGAACCTTTTGCCACCTCTTGTTAATTTCTGCGGTTAAATCACTTGAAGGTGAGACTAAGGCCGAATGAGAAGTGAAAATGTACGAACTCACATTTCGCACGGCATCTGCAAATCGATAATATCTCGTATTTGCGGTCAGTGGAATTGTTTCTGTATGACACAGGTTTGTTCCCGGAGGTAGAGATGGCTTGGCCGGCCATTGCCCGGTCTTGTTGACCGATGCAAACGCAAGCACCGCTGTCTTCACCGCCTCGTATGCAAAAGTGATTTCGAGCTGTGAGGTGCGCACAAAACGGTATATGAGAAAATAAATATGTAAATTTCCCTTGATTGTTGAGAGATAAAAACTGAAACCTTGGGAACACTATTAATTGCCCGCGCTTATGTACGGAGCTTGACGTGACATCACGATACCTGTGATTTTGTACTGTATCGCACAGTAGACTAAGTGTTAAGTTAACGAGCTTTAGAATATACGGGATGTGTTCTCTACGAACAATCAATAATACCTATCAGTTGCTGCGTCTAGCGAACCATAATAGGGATTCAGGAACTTCAGAAGATTGGTGTCATCTGGACAAATTTATCAATGATTGACTTTGTCTTTCTGTCACTCAACAAAAATGATATGTGACCGTGCACCACTGTTAAACACTTGCCTCAATGCGTTGATGAGCACCACCACCACCCGCGATCGTTAAGTCCATAGAAGACAGGTAGTATCTCCAGTGCAACTGTGGAAAATTTCGTTGACGTAGAACACCTTATCGAACCTAAGAAAAATTCGAGCTTTGTGTGTGACATATTAATCACTCATTTGGAGACAAATCAAGTTTCAATACTAGCCTGTCCCTCCAAGATAGATAAATTCATGCAATTCAACTGTCCTGGCTTAACTCGGAGACCGTAACAGAATATTTTCCACTGGACCCCAATAGAGAAAGGTCACATTAAGTAATACACACACACAAGCACTGAGCCCTACTCTGTGTCTCAGTTAAAGCAACTTAATGGCAGTTATTGGTCACCATAAAGTAAAAATGTTTTTACTGCCTGATTCCTAAGCGCTGTCGTAGCCCATTACGGGTTGGGTGTGCATCAACTGTTAGCAATTACAGAAGTTCTAAATAAGGAGGCGACTGAAATCTCCTTTTAGGAATACGGAATTAATCCAAATATCCACGGTATTCAGGCTAAATACTTTAGTAGCCTAAGAAGTACATGCACTTTTTTGCAGATTCCATGTTGCTGGTTACTGGTTCCCTTCAATACACTTTTATTTCTTTTCCCTACGTAGGTTAATGATTGATCGAAACAACACAAACCGGCAAAACATATTCTTCGCGTATGAGTCCTTGAGCAACATCAACTACATTTTTTGACTGAAGTAATAGGTCAAAGACCACAAGAAGTTAATTCTGGCCGCAGCGGAGCACAATTAGAAGAAAAGAGTGCGACTGATCAGCTTGAACTATGTGACTCAGTGGTGAACCAAACGAGTGAGAAGCAAGGAATATTCAACTGTATAAATTCTGAGATAGTTGGTGTTCCATAGAGGTATCACCTGTTGGAACAGAAGTAGAGTCATGATCTAAGACGTCAAATTTAAATCGAGTTTAGATGGTTCGTTCTAATCATCTGAAGAGGGGATTTATCTACATGATGTAAACATTTTCGGCGTTAAGATGTTAAGATCAAGCTATAAAACAAATGATATTTAAGACCAGTAAATTAGTAAGGATCGCCTCCTTATTAGTGTTAGAAATCAGAACAAAAATAACCTTTCGCCTAAAGCCGTGGCATATGTTCCAAACTCTTCATCTCAATGTGCATTTAAGTAGGTTTCAGCGTTGGCTTTACCTGATCCACATTTGGATTGTCCCACGCATTTGGAACTCGACGTTTCACGAGCTCCAGTGCATTCATATCTGCATTGCTCAAATCCAGTTTGATGCACAAATACTCTTTGGAAATCTTTTGCAGGTCGCAGCGAACAACCCCACTTTCGTCCGTGTAGCACAACAACTGACACTGATTAGGATTCAAACTTCCATCGTAAATGAGCCAACTGATATTGAGCATGGACGAACTGATGTCATGCTGATCAATCGCATTGAGAATAGTTTTCATCGTGTCCCTCGAAACCTTCATGATCCACAAATCAGACTGAACAATTCGATAGATTTTTTCCATCAAATCAATTAGTTCCGTTGCATGGGTTGGTCGGCTTAGTTTGATGAAATAACGTCCGACAAACTGAAGCTTTTCGAAATCCGAGAACACTAAGTGAGGACCTTTCGGGGAGAAAAAATACATGAAAATAATCAAAGATTTTGAATGATATATTATTATGAGAACCGCAAACCACGCGATGAATCACTCTTGTGGCTATCCGATTTTAAAGATTGATTATGTGAAAGATAATCATAACCTTGCCAAGATTAATTTACCTTCTAGAGAACCATCTAATTTTGTATTCTCAGAAAGGAATACCGAAAAGCTTGTCCAGATGTTCAATAACGGTAATGCCACGATCGATAAAACCAGAGTCAATTTTAGCGCTAATAACATCGACAGTGATCATTCAATCTTGGAAGCAACAAACCGATTACATCTTTCATGATATTCAAAGCTGATGCTAACTTCAATTCTCATGAAATATAATAATAAAAACAAAAACTTCACGACAATTATTTGGTACTGATCTGATAATGGCTAATTGAAATTGCTTTCATAACACAAAGCGTTTTGTGTAATACTACACTTCTGATAGTGGTTGCTTTTCTTTCATTTATTTTGTATGTAACATGCCATTTAATCGGGTGAAATTTTATTGTAATTTCCAGAACACTAGTGGTAGACAAAATATGTTTTAGGATATTTATTCTCAAATCGTTAACAGCTTGAAACAAAATGGCGAGGAAAAAGGAAAACAAACTGTCAAGTACAATCGATTTGAAGTGAGAGGTGTGGATACAGTGTTTAAATCAACATCAAATGTAGACACCCGAGTGCATGACTGAACTACGCAGTTTTCATAATTATTATTGTATCGCCACTGTGCTCATCGGTACCGCATTCAGTTGCCGATCAAGGTTTATGGAGAGCTAGTTTCCTCCGCTCACATAGATCATGCTTCGAAAAACTGTAGTTGCTGGCTACCAAGTTGGTCTTTACACCTGTTGTGAAAAGTATTTGACAAACGAGGAAAGCAAGTGACTGTCAATTGTGTGCCGAGTTTCTACCGAATTCGCAAAGGTGGTAATTGAGAGCCCGTTTCATTTATTTCAGGCCCGAGCAGGTGGAGCTGACATACTTTTTGCTCATAATTAACAAACTTGTTGTGTGGCTTGTTTAAGAGGTGTCGCAAGTGCGCGTGAAGTGTGTCCCGATTGTGGATGCAATCGATTAAATGGGTTCAGTGTTATTTTGACATCCGATGTTAGGTGATATGAAGAACTCCAAACTGATTGGGGCGATGTTTAAGGTTGCTTTCTAAATGACACTCAAAACACGCCCACTTATATGTAGTATGCCCTCCCCCACAAAGAGGAACCTAAACATAAGTTAAAATTTCTCCCTGTGTTTTCTTTTGATCGGTTCATCCAGACATTTTTTTCTTTCAACCAATCTCAAGAGGTGAATGCAACTTGCTTAAGTTTTTCCAATGTGCGACAATTTCATCTCTATAGATTGTGTCTTAGTATTCTGCTTGGCATTGTACCGAAGTTATTGCATCCGGTTTCGCTTGTGGCAAGTTGCAAGAACCTGTGAAAACTCGTGTTTCGATGATTCCCGCTCACCTTCTGGTACATTTTGCCCGATCAAAACTACATCGAAATGCACGTCGCAAGGAACTTCAAACAGCATTTGAGAAACAATGACTGATCTCAACTCTAAGTTTGCAAAACAGTTTACACGTGTCAGTTAACCAGAAGTCACAAAGTGTTTGCAGTCAATTCGATATCAAACTCGTATCCAAATGTTTACTGACGATGGAGTACTCAATCGCCTGCACATAAAATCCCATGTTACCTAGGATGATATCTATAAAGATGTTTGCTCAGTTGATGAATTTCACCCAGTACAGGATAAAATAGAGTTTAGATGCCTAGTAGCTCTTAGATACTTAGGTTCGAAAAACAGATTTGACAAACAATTACACCATACGCACCATACAAAATGAGTGCAACTTCATGTTGATTGCTCTTTCCATTTACTGTATTCCATTTGGCTCTCCTTTTCGTTAGCTGAAAGTTATATACATATATTAATATGCCCGTAACTTACAGATCAAATTAATAGAATTACTATTATCAAAGCACAAAAGTATTGAGGATGAGGGCCAAAATTATCGCACATACTCAAGCACACTAATCAGATCCGTACCGAGGATTTCATCAGTGAAGAACACCGTGTCACTGTGTAACGCAGTCAGCAAACGACTGGCGAATGCGGACAAGGCGGCAGTCGAAGAGGCTTCAGGAAAACGCACAGAGGGAACACCAAGTGTCGTTATCTCCATAGAAGAATTATCAGAAGGATTATTATAATTTTCCACTTCCAGGTTGCCACATTCCGACTTGTCGGCTGTCATAATTCCGGCATCGATTTGCCGAGCGGTGTATTGAAACAGACATCTGTTCTCAGTAAACATGCTCAAATCGACAATAACGTCCGGATGTTTACTGGGGTCCTGCGCAATTTCCGAACAAACTATGACATAGGTGAGGAGCAAAACAGGGGACAGAAGAGAAAATCATTCGAACATCCCTTATGGGTACCTTCAGATGCGACAAAAAGGATAACAAATTCTACTATCCGATAACAGATAATCTAATACATAAATTCTAATTTGGGGGTTTATACAACTCATCCAGGTTATGCCAATAAAAAGAACGTTGGTGAAAACGAGTAGACTAATAGCATTCAAGAACAACTGCTAAGCTTGGTTATTAAACTGTTTGAGCATAATTTAGAAATAAAGAAAATGAATTGTTCTAACTACTGTGATTTTTTATCTCTTGCTACAATCATAATAAAGTAGCGATAACGTATGGAATTGCGTTGTTTCAACTCCGCCGTAAATAAATTCGATTTTTATCGCAGTTTGCTCGAGAAATGAACTTACACCTTTAAATTAACCAAAATGTTTACCTATTAACTTGATTTAACGGAGATTGTTGCTTTGCCCACCAAACCCTCGTACCGGTTGAGGGAATCAATTTACTAGTCAGTTAACATCGCCATTAGTAGGATGAATGTATAAACGAAAATTTATGACACCTTGGGAGTATTTTAATCCCTTATGTATTTTTAAAGTTGTAGAATAGAGAAAGATGCTTCACAATTTGGATTCCGAAATTTGAGTTTTTAGTGTCTAGTAACTACGTAGTACTTTCAAAAAACATATCCTTTTACGCGATAGCAGCAAACAGAGTGAATAATTTTGCGCAATATGGTCACAGGTGTTTTCAACTGGAATCACTCTCTGATCGAATGTATTCACAAATTGATGTGATTTCTTTGGTTGGTTGTTGCTATACAAAACACCATAGACCCAATTTTCCGAAAGTCCTCTTAACCGGTGAGTAACACTATAGATGAATATAATAATAAACGATACCAATAAATCAATGCCATTCGTATTAAGTAATTATTTGTTTATGCCTTTGTGTTACCTCACTGATGGTGATCGGGGTACTAATCAGTTTATGTGGGTACCATGAGAAAGCAGATGGCTGACTATCACGGTAATAAAGAGCGAAAAGGACAGCCGAGAGAGGATTAATGGATGGAATATGGTAACGGCAGACGATGCGAACCGGTTGGAAAACTGTTGCAAATAGTAGTGTGTTTCCTTCTCTACTACAGGATTGGCCCCCTATTGATCACGTTCTCTTAATAGAAAAATCCTCAGTTTGGTATTGGCCTTATGAATTTTGAACTGCCAATAATCACTGCTATTTTGTTCTAATACAGTGGAAATTGTATTTTCCAAACACTTCGAAATCGGGCCTTAAATGTCTTGGCAACGCTTAGTGATTATTCACTTATTACTGACCTAAAAATAGGTCTTTGTTGGATATGATAAGCAGATTTCTTCATTCAGACGAGTAAAACGAACACAAATCACGAACCAGTGCCCCCATGACTGTATTATGACGTGATTTTATAGAATCGGTATGTGAATCTTTTTTGACTTCTAACGAGAATTCATCACTTGTAGTGTTCAGAAATCATTTAGCAGCAGATACTGGCATTTTTGATTGAGTAGGTGAATCGATTCAAAAGACTTACTGGTGTCGCTGATTTGGTATGCCGCTCCGGCGTTGTCTTTCTGTACTACATAGTTGGACACGGTCAGTGTACCCACACTTGGATCCACTGCTTCATTTTGCATTTGTTCTATTGCCAATTGAACCACCGAGCGAATGTCTGTTCTTTCGATTGTAGTCAGTATTGCTTGGACAAACAGTGACAGATGGAAAGCAAGCGTTGAATCCCGTTAGACGTCAGTTTCAGTAGACATTATCAATACATTATTGGTGTCTTAACAGTGTTACAATTGAACCGCGTCTATCATCAGCTTTATTTTATGTCTGCCTTCTGCTTTATCTGTTTTTGTCGTTTCTAGTGGTGATCGAGATGATACGTTTAGGAATAAAACAAAATGCGTCTTTTGCAATGAAAAAATACCCAGTTTGCCCAAGACGATTCACGTTTTTGACTTTCATGTATGTCGCAGACAAAACAAGAGGAGAAAATGTTTCCGTTAGCAGCTTTTTAACATGGCCAGACATTGTTCGCTTTTAACTCCCGGATTACAGGATAGGGAATGGAAGTCCCAATGTGGGATCGTGGATAGTCTGCCTATTCAACATCCGTAAGTGTTTCGCGGCTTTCACATTGCTGTCTTCGAGCATTTGTTCTTCAGAAACGGAAATGAGAATTTTATTACATTTGATCGTACAAACTTCAAATAGGAAAATATAATCTATTCACGCTTGAAAGTTCGGATTCTCAAAGACTGTTCAGGGAAGCCCTATATCAGTCTGTTCCCCATATGAAAATTATTCGGGTCCAGTAGCTCAGTTACAACCTAGATTGGACTCCAAACAATTCCAATCACACTCTACAGTTGTTCTTTCAAAGCTTACTGTCAGAGAAGAACGGGACGAATACGCTGAGTTTGGATTTAGGCATACTTGTTTCAGGTTGTTGCAGAACCAACTTTCAGAGAATCGAAAATCAAATTCAATGTCTATTTGTTTGTCCGTTTGCCGTTTTTCATTGGTGATTGAGACTCAGATATGAGAGTGACTTTAATTCAGAAATAATTTCCTTAAGATATAGATTCTTTCACTAATTCTTATTGCGGGGGTTTAAATTGATAAAGTTGTTTCTATCGCCTCTTTGTAGCATCACGAACTAAACAATCAATTAATTTGCCGGCTGTAATATTTAGAGAATGATTTAGGAGAATTGTCACTTTTCCTCTATTTGGACACCATCATGTTCTTCAATATGGCAATTTACATTTTCAGTGGAGCCTGATACTCGAACACCAGCACGAAATTGTCATGGTGATTCACGGTCATCTAAACTTGTTTTGTTTTGTTTTCGACTAGTCACGTGCAAGAAATCAGGTAACCTAGTTCCTTGCAGATTTGATCAGGGGAGGAATTCAATAGGAAGGTACTGCTGACCGCGCAAATGGCAAATATGCACTGTAAAGTGCAATCGAATGAGACAAAACTGTACGACAATCAAATTCGAAGCATGCATAATATGCGTATTATTATATAGAAACCAGAATAGACTTTATTAAACTTTTATTAGCTTATTACAGATCTCATCAAAAATGTATTTTGGGTTTGTATTGCGTCCCGCACGAATAATCAAACATCGAAAGTAATTTTGGGGTAATCGGAACCATGCATCAATAGCATCGATTTTCTTCAGTTTAAAGACTGAATAACCGAGTCGGATCGAGACGTTTGACAAAACGCCCCATTGATTCATAACAAGCGATATATTTCTATTTAGAAAAACATGTTGTTTTCGAACAGTTTCTATTCAACTTAGAGGCCGATTGATTTAGCTATCCGCATCCCAACTCACGAGCGTACTCAAATCCAATAGCTTGTATCGGTATTAGTTTTTAATGGGTGCATGATTTATTTTCAACTATATGGTCATTTCTATTAAGAGGTGTATGCTTTGTCTTCAATATTTTCTACACAATACATCTAAGCCCAGGTGTTTCAGGTTTTTCACCCATCTATTCCGAAGTTGACTAACCCCAACTTGGTGAATTAATAGATGATTGAAACAATTTGTGATGGACCGTGTTTTATTTCAATGATCACAAGTCGCAGGAAAATATATGTATCTTCAACTGTACAAGGTCAACGGGAGGCGTCACAATTGACTTTGCCCATTTGAGGGTTGTGAATAATTGCAACTAGTTTTGTCATTTCCCCTAACCATTGGGTTTAACTAGGTTTCTCTGCGCACTCATGTCGTATTAGGTCCTTAGTACACACTGAAGCTTTCTTCGATCTTATTTGCACATTGACAGACAGATTGATCTTTCGTATAAAATCGCAACACCCATTGTGTTCGTGTATAAGTGATGTTCTGGATGTTTTCCAGTAATCATAGGAAACGGTTACGAAAATCCGCGGTAATTGAGTTAGTTCCATTGATCTTCCTCAAGAGGCAGTCACCTAGGGTGAAGTTACAACAACATACACTTTGAGTTAGTTTGGCGGTAAAACGGGTAATATGCTTGAGTTCTAAAAGAAACATTTTTAAAATGTTTCCAATCTTCAAATTCAGTTTTCTTGCAAAAAATGTTCCTCTGACTTCTTAATCATGCACCCAAAGATTTACGCAACGATCCAAGTTGTGCTACAATCATAATTTATTTGTCCTTTGTCATAGTTACATAAAGCAAATACTAAAAGATGTTCTTGGAAACTCAAGGGTTCAAACAAAATATCCGTTCTGCATAATAATCAAACCAAAAATATGAAGGGCAGTAGCTTGGATAAAAAACGCGATTCTAGTACAACTTTAAAATACACCCTGTGGCGTTCACTTACCCATATGCAATCCTTTCGCAGAGTGGAACTGACCACAGAATAGTTGAAACAAAATTCCAATAGCGCACAGCTGACTCAGATGACCACCGGGCCGATGATTCGCATGACTCTTTTGTATGCCTGATTGATGTGACCGCATAGGAGTAGTAGTATGTTTTTGGTGGTATTGTTGGTGGTGGTAATATGACGGAGTTACGTGCACTGGGCTACATATACAAGTCAAGTGTTTACTTTATGCACCCCGAAAGGTGGATATTCAGCACCACGATGTTTCGGATTCAAGCATTTAAAACACCCAAAAACAGTCTGAAATACTCTATATAGGTTTGGTCATTGAGCAGAATGGTGGATACGTGGTCATTTTGGTGTTCGGATTCCTGGGGATGTTTTATGTGTGTGTGCTTGTGTGTGTGTGTGTGTGTCGGGAACATGAGAGCGAGAGAGACAAGAGAGTAAGAAAAACAAGATTTGTTTACTGGATACTATTTCGATTAAGCGAACAATTGTGGCACTTGTTTCCTGGTTGCGGTGCAGACATTCTAGGGGAAAGATGAAGACCAGCGAGGAGGTGATGGAGACAATGTGAAAGGAAAAATTGCTCAGAGTGAGGGAGAGAGACGGGGTGGGACAAGATTGGTAGCTCTGAAGGGGTGAGAGGACACTGTAGAGATAATTAAGCTGTTGAAACAGCACTTTGATTACACTAGCACGAGGAACAGGGGAGGGGAAACACTGACCAGGTTTCGGTACAGACACACGCAAACAGGAACAGATTGCTAGGCTAGTGGAAATGAGAAGACTGGCATGGATAGATAAACAAAACTACCGGGAGTGAGGACGACAAGAGGAAACGATTGGTATAGTGATAGACTGAACTATTGCCAAAATACTTGCTCAGACTGAACGCTTTACAGTCTAAAATGGGTTTGGGATGGAAACAGAATCACATGCTGATTAACACCGGTGGACTTGGGTGCAGCTCAAATCACTCAGATTTGAGCAACCGGATCAGACAGTGAATTGGTAAACAAATCTTGAAGAATGTTTCATATTCTTCAACGAAGAGTATACATGTAACGACGTATAAATTATGTAAAACATTAGAAGAAGTATCAAGTGATATCTCTTCCAGCGTTTGTAAACCGATAGACAATTGGGAAGAACCACAAAACCTATCGATTAGTTCATCAGCAAAAGCAGTCGAGTTTTATAAACTCTGCTTCATGTGATCAAATGAAATTGGAAAAGACTGGTTATTGTACACGGTTCCAAGTGGACGGATGAAAGTTTATCTCGGGAAGAAGCTTCACAAACAAAAGAAATTAACATTCGACCGGAGAGATATACTTTCTCTATTAGCCGGGCTTCGATGGAGCCGGAGTCTTGCCACCACCACCACCTCGATTCTACTTTTGTTGTATCACCACATTTTCCTTCGCCACGCCTAAGATATTCATTTGTGGCCTTTAGTTAACAGATAATGTTCATGAATGCCACCAGATAAAGTTGATTTGTTTGACAAAGCTGAGTCACTTCTGGATGTTTTACACCGCATGTTTTCTAACGTTTCAAATACTTTTTAGCCATCATGATTCATACTGCCCCTGACTACTTCGGTATCCTGGTACCTCTTTCTTCTTTGTGCGCCTTGCTGTGCTGATGGTCTCACTTTCCATCCAGCGCTTTCCGATAGTACCCTGCCTGAAATGCCAATGAATGCTCTATCCCCTTCCTTCTACGAAATTCCTTTGTGATATACTATTCAGCACTTTCTGTGCGATCTTGTTTTATTGTTAGACAACCAAGCACCCGGTCAGTATAAAGCTTTCCACATTATTATATCTTGTGCAATTTAGTCGCACGAGACTATGCCTAGCTTTCCTCTTGAACCACTACATACACTTTCTGGGGAGCTTCCGTTATTATTAATCTCTATCCGTTAATCAGTGCAACTATCATACATGCATTAAATTCCTTTTTGTGGCCGCTTCGTGGACTTTGATGCTTAACAGTGGAGCGCTTTACTGCATGCCTCAAAGCAGATTACAAACCATCATGAGGTATAAGGCACTGCGTTTACGCATTAGTTTTATCTGTAAAAATATCATTTACCGATTTTCTGTGCATCATGGTACGTGGGATTAGTGGCCAAGATTTGCGGAACCATTATTCAACGGTCCCATGCTATGCCAGAATACATCAAATATTTGGTGAATATCATCAGTTTCACTATTTGTGCATTATCCTCATCAATCAAATGTAGTGCAAGGAATACTGAAGCTCAATGATATATATGATGGTTTTGCATCATTTTTGTTGTAGAGGTTAGAATAATTACAATAGATGACAAAGTTCTGTCTCTAAATGCATTGAGGTGGGATGAAGATAAATTTTAACATTATAGAACATTGTATTGAACATTATATTTCTTTAAAAGACAAGCGTTCCCTTGTAAGTTAAGTTTTGTAAGGACAAGTTGTGACATGAAAATCCGATACGCGAAACAAGCTGTTTTTCGATAAATGCATTAACTGACCATTTCCATTTATATAAGTATAGTATTTAATATTATTTGATCTTGTGCGAGGTGGATCTTATTAAATGCTAGACCCATAAGAAAGTAAATGGCAAGTTAATGGACTTATCGGATTTTATTTTCAAGGACAAGTTGGTTTGTTATTTGAATTCATAATTTACTTTCATTTGCACGAAAGAAGTTCACATTTTATCAAGATTTTGCAAAGTGGAAATTGCCCTTAATTTTGTTCTCAAGTACAAATCAAAGCTAGATCCTTCGATTAGTGAGAATGTATCACAGGTATACCCAGTGTTACATCTCATCGAAAAGATCGATAACTTTAAGGTGCATAGCAGAAAACTATCAGTTGAGTGAACAAAGGCCGATAAATAGTCGAGGCTCAATTCCACTTAGGATTTCTTCCCACATCGGTACTCATTATCATTGTTCCTTTGAAGGTGATAAAGATCAATCATTACAATTTCAGTTTGCACAGAAATTATTTCGCACAAAATTAACTTCCCAGGCAAAAACAAAATGCGTAAAATGATTCACTTACTAACCGTAATATCTCCATCAACATTTAACAATCTTTTTTAACCTTTTCTCAGGCAAATGCTGGTAAACATTGATCAGAACGGTGCGTGACATGCAAGCTGTCCTAAATTCCCCATAGGGTTAGTTTCTTTCTGGATTGTATAGGTATATGTTCTTGTTGAGTGCCTGATACTTGCGCAATAAGAAAATAAGGCTCATAAAACAACCCTCCTATTTAGTTTTACTTACATGCAACTATTTCAGAAGCAGGCCATTAAAGTTGGATTAGACCTGGTTGCAATTTCCGAAATTCCCAGAAAAGGCAACAGATTTTACTATTTTGCGTAACGGAATAATCGTTCGATCATGTTTTCAATACAGGTTATCTTATAGAATTCAATTGCGCAACAGAAACAGATCAGAAACAGACCAAAGCAAACTGAACATATAACTGATCGAACTTGGCACGCGTACAGAATAAACTTGCAAACCTGGTAAAGAAAGACCACACCACGTGTCCCATAGGTGCCATTGTGAACTCCTCGAGGATGGCTTTGGACGTACGATTCAGTGAGTTCTGAGTCGAAACGTTTGCGATCCCACTGTTAGCTGTTGCAAATCGAGGGGTTATTTGATTGGTCAAAGCTGATCAGCACATGTTAAACAACATAGATACCTTAAATTTCACTCATTCTTCTTACGATTCGTAGCTGGTCGTTATTTTTTGTGGTTTTGTTGTTCAAGTCTAAAATTATCACAACACCAAACATACATCGAACGTTTGCTCCTTTTATCAGCCAAGTTGTAAGTTGTTATTGAACGCAATTATTTGTATAACTAACCTATGATATGTGATCGAATTTTTTGGATAGCTTACACGTTTATAGTGTTTGCATAGTAATGTCACATTCAGAATTAGGCAGAAAACTGGAATCCCTCTCAAAGAGATGCCTCACAGCAATATTTTCCGCTGCCATTTCCGTCACTTGATCAAAAGACGTAATCAAGACAAGGACACTTCCTCCGGACGTGTCATATCTCAATTAGCAATGTTGTACATCTCCAGGTTTGATATTGTTCATATAAGCATTTGATTTTAAAGAGAACTAGATTCAGATTGAAGTTTCGTAAAATTTCTTGGCGATAAGTAAGGCGTTGCTAATCCGATTACATAATCCCGTTCTGTGCGCCCAAAAGTTGTTGATCCAATCAGTTCACTTGCCTTGGAGGTGACCGGTATTTTTTAAATTCATCTTTTCTATCTCACAAAGCAAAACGAATCCGTATCCAATGGGGAAAATTTGGCTTGTATTTACCCAATCTAATTCAAGAAAAGAGCTCTCATCATTCGTTCGTGAGAAATGTAATAATCAGAAAGCAGGTGCAGCATCACACTAGAAAGATTATTTTATTATCACAAATGCGATGATATAACAACAAATGACACAATAAAAGATAAAGGCTAGTGACACAATACAGTTCTCTGTGGATCTTTTTGAAACAAATCGTAAACTCAAATGGAGACAACACAACGATAATCTATTTGGATAGACACAAAAAGCCAAAAGAAGTCGAACTAAAACGAATTGGATGTAACGAGTTGGCATGCCAGGCTGTGGCCAAAGCTTGTTTAAATGTGTCATTCGAGTCCGAGACACAAGATATAGCCAATCGTTTTGGTTTCGTTAGGTGTCATTCGTAGGAGATTGTTGTTCTGCTTCCTCGGCGGCTTTTGCCTGTTAATGTGAAAAATGAACATTTGAGAACAGTTGATGAAAGAATGATTCGGACAGGTGAGTGCAGGATAGTTGCTGATCTATGCCAATTTCGCTAGATTTTTGGAATTGAATGTGACAGTAAATTTTCTCACTTAGAGGATTCTTGTGGAAATTTTCAATTTCTTGACTATTGCATCGGGAAGTTTCCGTGATGCTATACTCATACAGATAGGTTTATGGTGTATTCCACACAAATGGACGGCTAAACCATATTTCGGAAGAATGTGGGAATATCACCTATATTGGCTTGATTAGAACAGATCAATTACAGCATCTGAGGTTAGCTTCCTACCCTGAATACCATACAGATCCTAAACAAGTACTTCAAGTTATCCAGCAAGTTTTAGTCAACCGAGTAAATAATATCCGACTGCGCACACTTCTTGTTGACCGGCATCATAGCCAACTTACCTCTCTAGCACACCGACAAATAAAAGAATTGTAATCATTATTTTCTCTCCGCAGATTTTATGTGTCATACTTTGGGGTTTCAAAAATGGTTGTCCCATTATTCTGATGTTCTTCATACTACATGAAGAGATATTAAACAGTTAAAATTCGTTTTACGAACGGAGGGTAAAAATGAAACGAAATGGGGGAAATGGCCCATTGTTATTCCTTTTTAAAAGTGTAAAGATAGAGCTTTACGAACAACCAGTGTTCGTAATAGTCTCCTCTAACACTGCGATACATATCAGCGGCAGGATTTACATTCTGCTGCAAGACATTAGATTTGCCACCAGATATTTATATTTAATAATGTGTAATTAGAGGTACGGAAATTAACAACAGGAGGCTCATTAAAATCCAAGTTTTAGAAAGATCGTCATAAAATAGACACTCAAAATATAAAGACTAAGCTAATCAGTTTGAGAGCAGCCCAAAGTATTTAGGTTTGTTTTCAATTAGTTATTAACCTTTATTTTCACTAGACTCAAGTGTTCCCTTCCAACCAGACAGCAGTTCCTCAAATGCAAAAAATTGACCCTTTGCATTTCGTATCTATGGATTCCGTCGTGTCATTTACTCCTCGAAAGCATTTTCCGATGTGGTAATGTTAAGCATGCAGTGCTATTCGAGTTCATTGTCGCTTAAAGCCTCGTCATGATCAATGCGACTCAAGCCTACGCTTTCCCGCACATTTCCGGCTATGTGGTCCCTAGGTTTTCACACTTCCTTTGTCTCCTATCTTGCGCTTCAGTTGGTTTATTGGGTATAGTTATCTGATGATACTCCTGCTTAAAATCTCACACTCCAAGAAATGACAGTTGTCTTCCTTTTCAGTGTATCGTACACAATATTGCCAATTCGTATAGGCCAAAGCTAATTTAATAATGTTATGGACTGATCATCATTTGGACCTCAGTTTTATGCACAATCCAATTCACTCAGTCACCCATACATTCGGTAAATAACTTTCGGTTTAAATTGCAAATTTTGGATCAGGAATTCAATAGTCGAATCCTAACAATAACTAAAACCTTAAGCACTTAAGCATTTAAGACTTTTAACCTGAATTAATTTTGGAATGCAGTTAAACTTTTCTGAACCATCACCCATCACAATAGTTGTCCAACCACTGAACTTCTTGATTCTGAAATGGATTTATGATCGCATTAAATTCATGTATTAATTTTACACCCGTGAATGATATGCTGTTATTGTTAAAAATATACATTACAGTGCATTGATATCAATACAAATAATTTCCAAGTAGGTTATTCCTCGGACTGTGTTGCTGTTGTTGTTGTGACAATTGGATAGATTGGCTGGCAAACAAAACCGGAGACTAAAAGTAGTTCGTTCATAATAGATAAAACAAAGGATCTTTCAATCTGGATTCTGTGGCGAAAACTTTTTTCACTTATTTAATTAAGTATATAATTAATTAAGTAAAGATTAATTGATAATCGACCCATCCGCTGGTACTTTGTCACTTCGTTATGTTTTTAGTTCGTGACAATACATTAGTGTAGTGCATTTAACATAACTTCAGACAGATGAGTTTACATTGGCAACCATGTATCACTGAACATACTGTAAGTAAACGAGCAATGTTAAGCACCAGACAAAAATCCATTGGAATGAATATACATCACAGACTCCCACATTTCATAATGGAAACGCTATTGTGAGAGTGACACAGTTAACGTTCGGATCAATCACACAACAGTACACCGCCAATAATTTAGGCCAGATTACCTCTGTCAATAATACGTCAAGAAATGTAAAATAATCACTCTCGAGATCGATCCAAAAAAAGTATGGAGAATGACTACTTTTCACGTGAATAACTCAGAGCCGTTTCACTATGCGTTCAGCTGTTTTTTCTATCATAATTTCTTTGATGGTAACTGAGCACAATATGGACAAAATAGCGGCCCTTGAAATCGCGGATCTTTTATTTTATTGGCCGTCGGTTTGGTTTTGGTTTTTTACGAGCTCAAATTGAGTAAACACCACCGACCAGCCTAAATCAGACACAGCGTTCAGTTCATTAACTTTGCCCAGTCGCAAAAAGCAGCCCCTGATTAGTAACTACCCCCAATTTCTCGGTAAATTTATGTTGCTCTATTCACACGACTGTTTTGTTTACCCTGAGATTGTATTGGATTTTGTCAAGTAGCCTGCTGCTCTGTGCACATCACATGTTTGCCATTCTCTTCCTTCCAAGTTGATGTGGGCATTCTTTTGTGAATTCTCGTCTCTTGATTGCAGTTACACTCTGCTGGATAGTATTTTGATTACATCTACATCATTACCAACCAACAAACATATTGTTCTCTAATGTTCTAGGCTTTTATCGTTGTATCTGGTTCCTCTAAGTGAGCGTTCATGAGGCAACAAGACAAATTGCGCAATGCGAGACTGATCTTCATCTGAACAGAAGCCGTCAACTTCTAACAGTTGTGAGTAGATTGTTCCGAGCATCAGATTGTGTCACTGCAAAATCTATCACTATGGGAACAGCTCAAAAAAATTCTCATATGCAAAGCGCTGTCCTGTTATTTACCCTCGGAAAAGCCGTTGTGCAGTGTCTACAGGTGATACAAATCTGTCTCGGTCCAACAGAACAAAATAGTCACTTGGGTTGTATGACGTACACAGATCGTTTGATTTCTTACTCATTACAACACACAAGAAATGACGCTAGTTGACCAAGTTTCAGTGCATGAAAGGTCTGTAGCTCAAAAATGCATAATTTTGTTCTGATACATATTCCACCCGACGAAGAATGAAGCACATGCGAATAAAGTCTCTTAGCACGAATTGAGAACAGCACAACGTTGTGAATAACTTCCGCTTCGGTTTAGTCAATTCACTCCATAACGTTAATTTTATTCAAACACATTAGAGGTGGAATTACACGTGACAGTCTTGATGCAAAAGGTATGAAAATGATTAATCATAGTTTCAATTGATTCAAATTATCCCACCGATTGTTCTATTTGATTTTCTCTCTCCGAAATATTGAAACTACTTTAGTTATCTCTTCAGATGAAGCAAATTTGAACGGGAGAATCTGAACGACAACAAACAGCCAGAACGCTGCAGTGACAATTTCTTTCAAAGGTGAATTGTGAAAAAAATTTAATAATAAAGAACGGCAAAATGAACTTACTCCTAAATGCTAAAAAACGGAATGGTCAGTCTAAATGAGTATCAGCTTTCCCCAAACCACTACTCGCAAGTAACTGTGAGTTAAATTTGAAATACTGTGTAAAACAAAACACTAGTTTTCGTTATTTCGGATTCCTTTATTCCATGCTAGTTCACACATACATTTAGTGTCCGATAAACTAGACATGATAACAGCTATCCTCAATAATACAATACGGCCCCCGTTCGTTTGACAGCGGTGACAGTGCGATTAGTAAATCAGCCGGGTAATCAACAGTGAATGGATGTCTGGATAGCACTATGAAGTGATCACAGGAAAACGGATTAGACAAAGGTTTCTGCTCACTGACAAACTATTAACACAGGATTATTACCAGTCGTTTAAAGAAAAGCCACCCCATGGTATAGACGTTGATATTGTTATGAATATAAGAAATGCGTGCCAATCTTGAGTCTGGAGTCTCGGCATCCCCACTCCATATGAAGTCTACTCACCCATTTCAGGATTCAATCAATTGCCCTATTCTATTCTCTTTTACCCGCCTCTTTCCAGCTCTAAGATTTGCATTGTTTCTCGGATAACCGTTCTCAGTTTCATCTTCATTCACTGTCAAATCGAGAGCCATGTAGCAATAAAATTAGTTTACTCCGATATGAAGGTTTCATAATGGCTTTGTTTACTAATGTAGAGGACAGGATAAAAATTAGGGGAGACTTTTATCGCACATACCTGTCAACTAAGAACTTTTTCAGTTAGAATATTCGCTAGTAGTTGTATCGACCTTATTCGTGCAACAGACAGAAAATCGCTCACGGCAATATATCTCTCATACATAATAATAGGATCTCTCTACAAGGGTCACTCACTTTTCGTCGCCGAATTGTCTTTTGACCGACGAAAACTGCGAACTCGATAGCCAGAAACAGCATTGCAAATCCGATGCCGACCGCGAATAGGGAGAATGTGCCCATGAACTCGAATAGGCCCAAACCACGTTCCATTTGAAGCGAGCAATACTCCGGTACCTGGGTCCACCATTTCTCCTCCAACTCCTTCATCCGTCCCTCTTGCCACATTTGCGTTATTCTAATCACCCAAATGTGACAACAAATAAATAACTGCTTAACTAAATGTCGAATATAACTCACAACTCACCGCCAGCCTAACCACAATCCAGAAATAGATTGATTTTATGCTGAATTATTCATTGAGTGTATCAAAATTCAATGCAAGTGATCATAAAAATAATCTGGAAGTCTATTCTTATCGCATCTGGGATTGAAACCAGAACATTTACAGTGAGTAAACAAAACGTCACAATTAATGTTTCCAGCTACCTTGGGATACTTCGATCTTTGAGGAAGTTCGTCTCAGAGTTGCATGGTGCATCCAAAAAGAGGATTACCGTTCAAAATAGAACTGAGGATTTGTATCTGTTTGACAAAAACACCTATCGTAAAGGATCCTGTTGTAGCACTCGGAGAATTTAGTCTACGTGCATTTCCCATATGTCATTTACAAATCCAGATTGACTGCCAGACTCTCTGTTATTGGTTCATGATCTTCCTTCCTTTTATTGAACTAACATAATTGGGGAATTAAGTGTATGTATTGGTCGATGAGATTAGGTACTTTGGAAAGAAACAGCGATTCCCAAGAAAGGTTCAACTAAATTCCGGACTATTGTTTGTACTTCGACCACCCCGAAGGAACTTCAAAGAACAGTTTTACCCACGTTTTTTCTACAGTTGAATATGGTTGATTTTAATCAATTTGTCAATTGCTGTAAAGGATTTATCCTTAATTCTCTAGCTTCCTTAGTGCATTTTATTCTTTGATCGCTAGGTACTAAATGCAAAGCTGTAGGTAAACTGTGTGCTTTTTAGACTACAGTGACACATTGGGAAGTGTTGAGAGGGTTTAGCTGTTGTCCATTCTGGCAAACCATGGAGTTCGTTCGCCTACTGTTACCTGTTAATTGACTATTTTTCCTTTTGAAAACAGTTTACATCCTAAGTTGCCATTCTCCTTAGCCTTAGCTTCCGAATCAGGGATTCTTCAAGAAGCCATTTTATATCATTTCTTTTTTTCCATTTACAGTCAATCTCTTGCTATGTCGCATTTTCCAATAGCTTCCCACTTTTTCGAAAACCCAAACCAATCGTATGCCTACTAAAGTAGTTTCTGACTATGCGATGTCGCACCCCCCCCCTCCAATATGTCGCAGTTCCTGATACGTACTCACTTGGTCGTTGACGGATCTCGAGACGACCATTGACCATCCACCCTGAAATGTCGCACTCAACCAATGGCGTTGCACCTAGTGTGACGCGTCCATCGCACTGTTCACTGATTGGATAATCCCAGCGAGCAACTCACACCGATGCAAGCGATCGGAGACTGTCATTTGACGCCAAAATGTGCTAGAGCCTATAGATCAGAGAGAAGCAGAATGTGTTGGAAACGCTGAAACAGCCATGTGCAACTCAGAGCTCCGTAGCCAAGTCATTTGGAATTTCACGAAAAACTGTCTACAATGTTAGATCCCATTGAACGACTATCGGGGAACTTTTGAACGCTGGCGCATCTGAGGGAAGGTGCCACCTGAAAACCAACGAACAGTTCAAGGCAGTGAATGACGCAACTTTGACTTGGTTTACCGCTATGAGGGAAAAGCACGGAGAGTTCCCTTAGGTGGAGAGCATCGCACGTAAGAAGGTAATCCAGATAGCACAAAGATTGCATCCTAATGACTTCAAGGCTCACTCTTAGTCAGAGAGACATAGTATTCAATCGTACAAAGTAAGAAACAAGCAACTCATATGCATTAATTTATAGGTCTGTGGGGAAAGTCTAGCGGTACCACGTGATGCAGTGGATGAGTTTCGAGCGGGGTTAGCGCAGTTGATACAAGGATATGCTGACTGTGATACTTTCATTGTAGATGAAACAGCTTTGTATTACAGGCAGCTCCCAGAAAGAACATTGAGTCTGAAAGGAAAGACA